GGACTACGAGTCGCTCCCAAAGCCTACGGGCCACATTACTACTTAAGACCCAGTTGCCTCTTCGGCACGGGCAAAGTCAAAAAGAAGTGGACTATGAGTCGCTCCCAAAGCCTACAAGCCACATTACTACTTAAGACCCAGTCGCCTCTTCGGCACGGGCAAAGTCAAAAAGGAGTGGATTATGAGTCGCTCCCAAAGCCTACGAGCCACATTACTGCTTAAGACCCAGTCGCCTCTTCGGCATGGGCAAAGTCAAGAAGAGTGGACTACGAGTCGCTATGGGCCACATTATTGCTAAAAACCCAATCGCTTCCTCAGCATTGGCAAAATCAGTAAAAGTGGACTATAAGTTGCCCCTAGAGCCTAAGGGCTACAGTACTAAACTAGCGGAGACCTCCTCACCTTACGGGCAGCTCGCCACTTGCAGGCAGCTCGCCACATACAAGCAGCTCCCAAAGCCTAAGGAATTGGATCAGCACTTACTAGCTCGTCGACTTATGGGCCAAAAGAAGAAATCTACTCCCTTCGCTGAGTTACTCTCAACTCGGGAGTGGGGGGCAAATGATGAGGGCGGATTTGGCCCTCCAGTGAAATTGTGACACCTGGCACCTCATGCAAGCCAAGTGCAGCCTCTTGACAACTGGGCAGCTCGGCATAGCTCACCATAGGCAGTTTGGCAGAGCCTGCCATAGCTCACCACAGGCAGCTCGGCAGAGCTTGCCACAGCTCGCCACAAGCAACTCGGCATAGCTCTCCCCCCAGGCAGTTCACCATCAAGGAGCTCGGCATAGCTCTCCCCCCAGGCAGTTCGCCATCGGGAGCTCGGCATAGCTCTCCCCCCAGGCAGTTCACCACCAGGGAGCTCCACCATCCTCTCCTGGGAGCAGGTCAAATGACGAGGCACTTAGCCAAAAAAATTGATACATCACAAAAAATTGGTACATGACCAGAAACGGTTACATCACCTCATATATTATTTATTCTAATCTAGCCCCCAATCTTAAATGATCATTCAAGATTTAAATGAAACATATGGTACAAGAAATTGAAAATCAAATATGTTTAATTCAACGCATTAAACAAATTTGCACAACACTAATCACAAGATATCCAACCACACATAATTAGCACCGCTTATGCTTCCAACTCAGGCTCTACCCAAGCCTTAATTATCACATAATTTGTCTTCAATTTATATGGTTAAGGCTGGTATAACAAACATTTTGATCATCTCTTCCATTTAGAGAAAGTAATACTTTTGACACTTGTTTAGATTATGTGGGGTCTACATTAGTGTTCTCTACAGATTAAAATACAGGGAAAACCTATTTATTAATAGGGGTAAGTAAGTGCAATTGAATAATAGATTTCTAAGAAAATAAACCCTCTAAGTTCACAGAAGAGAATGCAGGAACCAACTAGAGCATAAGAATTTTATCGATAAATTAAACAACAGAAGGTAGTACATATTGTGATAAAAAGGTCACAAGAACTTAAGAAAGTTTTCAATTACTCAACGAGACAGAACATTATATTATTTCTGTGACTACTGACTACTAATGTCAATCAATGAATAAGATAAAACCCCTTCATGCATGAAAGCACTGTATACTCTATAAAGCATATACACTTATACAGTATTCCACATTGACCACCCCTCTCAGACAATATTTTCAAAAACATTGCCCTGCTTATACTTGCCCCCCAAAAGCTACCCCACTGTGAGATGATCGTCAGATATTATTAGTCCTACACAAAACCAACGTCGATGGAGACTGAAAATGCACAAGGTATTAGAGTGGAGTACCGCAACCAGTCTCTCCAACGATCAACGTTACGCGATTATCCATAACCTTCTCAACAATCTTATCTTTGAGAGCCATAACTGGAAGAGATGAGAAAGGAGAGGAAGACAACGGAGAATGATACGAAGAAGAACACGAAGAAGTTGGAGAAGACGCCATTGATGAATACTTCCGATGTCCTTCTCCTTTCCTCTGCTACAACAGGGTGGGGAGAAAGGAAGTAATGGTATAAAGGAGTTAAGGACAGACAGAGATTTACTTCTGCAAGGGACATCTCCCGCCTTTCTTTCTTTTTTCTTTTTCTGGTCCAATAGGTAAGGAGCACTGTACTCTACACTGAAGTCCGCAGTACGCGCGATGCGTCATGCGCACATTCTTTTCCCCCGCTAGCAAGAAATGTGGGTCCCACCCTATAGCTCGGTTCCTTCATCCCAGGCCCAGCCGCCCAGGGTCGTGTCATGGTCTTGTGGGCCTGGGCCTCGACGGCCCAGTATGATATGTCATCAACCGTTCAAAACATGCCTTTGGATTGCTCCGGCAAGAAGGAATGAAGGATAGAACAACCTGAAATCTGGACCGACATATCCCTACCCACGATGGGCCCATGCTATGCAATGAATATTCATGGGCTACAAAAGGGCCCACTGGAAGTTGGCCAAATAAACCCACGCAAACCCAGTTTCCCACGAGGCTCGACATTTTTGGCACTTTTATCGAACATGGGTTCGTTAAAACAAAAGGCGAAATTCCTGGTTAGTACCTGTATTTTGGGCCTAGTGTCATTTTGGTTCAGGAATTTTAAAATGCAACAATTCAGTATTTAAATTTTCAAAATATGTCAATCCAATACTTACCATTGATCAATTGTTAATCAGTTGTTAAGTGGTATTTAAAAAAGACACAAATGCCTTTCGAGTGTCATCTAATTTTTTTTATCAACCATCCAAACATTGAAAAAAAATTAATAATCTCAAGTCCCTACTTCTATTCAAAATAGTTGGGGTCATGTCTTAATGGACATTTTGGACCCCAACTTTCTTAAATAAAAGAGGCAAGAATTTAGGAAAGTTAATTATTTGTCGATGTTTGAATGGTTGATAAAGAAAATTAGATGACACTCGAAGGGCATTTGTGTCTTTTTCAAATGCCATTTAACAACTGGTTAACAATAGGTACTAAATTGACACATTTTGAAAGTTCAAGTACTAAATTGTCGCATTTTAAATTTGGGGACTAAAGTAACACTAGGCCCAAAGTATAGGGTACTAATGGAGAATTTTCCCTTAAAAAAATGTTTTAGATTAGCTAAATGTGTTAGGAATTAGGAGTTGTATAACCAATAATAATGCCCCAAGTCACCATGCACACAAAATGTGGAGAATGGTTGTTATGAGTTATGAGTTATGAGTTATGAGCGACGGCGTCATGGGAAGATATTCCAATGGATGCTTATATCCTTATTCGGGTTAGATGGACGGGCATGTTGAGAGAAAATAATTGATGAAAAAATAAAATCTCTCTTAAATCTATACTACTTAAAAAAGGCATAGAATATTTTTAAAATTTTTTGAGGACAAAATTTACCCCTGCATGTATACATTTATTAATATAGAATTGAGGGCAAATAAGTAATATATGATTTCTTTAATTAAATTGAAAAAAAAAAGATGAGTTTTAAGTTTATGTTGATATTGTTTCAATGCGTATTGTAACTAAAAATGATTTGCAGGCTTGCAGCATTCATTCCATCTTAATGAAACGAAGCAAAATTATTGAAGTTAAAAAATTAATTATCGATCAACCTGGCATTGGAGCTTGATCAAAAGCAAACATGGTGGTTTTGGATCAGTTCTTATTGATTGAGCTACAACTAAAGTTCAAAAATTTATTATGGGCCGATCTGGCGAGCTCAATCAAACCAAGCAAAATCGTATTTTCATCAAAATTTGATGATTGTTTTGTAACCGAAGTTTGGAAATTGATTGGCCGATTGGTTAATTAATAGAACCGCCACTTAGGGGAAGGGAAAGGTATATGTATTGAAATGAAAATTGAATCCTCTGTGCTTCTCACGCTTCTTAGTGATCTCGTGTGCTTTGTCTATTCGTGTCCGTAATCAAATGATGATGGTCCTTTTGTCTGTTCATGTTCGTAACCAAACCACGATGGTGCGCATACCTTTTCTGTCTTCTATGTGTAGTTACCTCTCAAAAGGTAGTGCAATTGATAAAATGCCTGCAATTAAAGGGTTCATGGATGGATTCTATAAATATAGTTTATTGGAAAGTGATTCTCATAGAACATAGAAAGCACGGGAGGAAGAAGAGGTGAGTTTCTTTGTTCGTTCTGAACTTTCTCAATTTTAATTTTCAATTTTTGATTTCAATATAATGTATATAGTGTAATGAAATTAGGAGTTCCTGAGTTTTTTTCATTGTAGGTTTCCACTGCTTTGGCCTTTGAAAAGCATAATGTTCTGTTAATTCATTATAGGTTTAAGCTTGGAAATTGTTTCTTCTATCAAATCTCACTTTATTGGTTGGTTGGGTCAAATTGTTTATGGATTTATCAGTTAAATCCCTGGTATATCTGCCTAATCCATTGAAGGTTGGACTTTTTTCCCTTAAGGGAGGGGTGTTTAATCATACTCTCCAGTCTAGAACTATCACCCTGCGGATCAAATAATCTCTTTGGGTAAGTTCTTGTAAGTGCATCTTTCCGTCCTTCCCATTGGTTTGGAAGTGAAGAAAACCAATTGGATTCATCTTATATTCATTTCCTTGCGTCTCTTGTTCCTATTCCATCTGATAACTACGACTGATCCATGCGTTCCAATGGACAAAATCCTCTTGAATTGTGGCCCTACCTTGGAATCAACATATAGTGATGGCCAGAAATGGATTGGGGATGTTGGGTCCAAGTTCGCACCTTAGATGACCAACAAATTAACCTCTACAACTGCCACTCAAGGCCTTTGACAGCAAGGATATTCCGCTCCAAATTTACTTACACTTCCCCTGTTGCATTCGTCCCTAAGTCCATGTTGTTTGTTTTTTGTTTCGGTTTTTTATAATCTGACATCCTTAATTTTCTGTTCAATTTCATATAACTTTGTGTGCTCCCTATTTTTCCTTATTATATCTAAAATATCAAAAAATACTTAAAAGTTATATGTATGAGTCAATTTTAGTATACACATTTTTTTTTATTTAATTTGATTGCAGAAATAATGGTTGCATCATACGAAGTTAGTGTTTCCTTCAAGAACTTGTTGAGTGAGTTGAGTAACCGATTGCCAAATCCACCTCCAAGAATGATCATCTAGGATGTTGGTAAAGACTTTAGAGATACAGTTATTCTTATACTTGAAGAAGACTAGAGATTTTATGGAAATTAACACCTAGCAAGAAGGAATCAGAACAAGATGTTTGCTTTAAAGCGGTGAAGAAAATAATTGATTTCTTTAACATAATTTTTTTTTATATCAACTATGAGCAATTAGAAAACTATTGTTCGAAGTGTATACAACTTCAAAATCATGTTGAAGGACTGAGGGCTGATATTTCAAAGCTAAGAAGTAGGCTTGCTGAACTTGAAATGGAAGTGATTGATTTGGAAGACGGTATTGAGGAAGAAGAATATTCGGTTGGTGGCAATTAGACCTAGAATTTTAGGAGTGTTGATACGAGTAATTTTCTTTGTGTCATGGTGTCTTATGGTCTTAGTTCCAGTCTTCGAAGGAGTTGTGTCTTTCTTTGTTTTTAATGGAAGTGGTGTTTCTGAGAGTGGCCTATCTTGTTTTGTAAGTAATTGCTTTAGTGATTTGTGTGCTAATTTTATTTGTCTTAATGAAAATTGAAATTTGCAATGTTCTCATTGACTAGGTAATTTGTAAGCCTCTATTTTCCTAAATAATATTTTTTCCTACAAGAAAAAACCTTATTGAGATCCTATTAACATAAGTGTTTTTGGTATCCTAACAAATATATAAAGAATTTACCTATAAATAAATATGAAAGCAACAACACTAAAAAAAGGCATAGGTAGACATGTTTGTAAGATGGGAATGGGAAGTTGAAATGGTAAGACCCCATACAGGTTCATATGTTACAACCATGTACCCAGACGATTTCTGTTTTGAAGCATCTCGTAGGACAATAGAAATTCAAGGCCTTATCTTTGAATTGCCCAAACAATACAGTAGCTGAAACTATTTTGAATAATTTAATATGAAACATATGCTCTGTAACTGAATGTAGTGGAATAAAATTTTAGTTTAGGATTGAAAACATATACTTTTTTCATTGTTAGTTGCACTTATTTACATATGCAAATATTTGGTTTACCAAATTAGCAAACCTTACATGTTACAACCATGGTACCCAGTGTAGAAGTATCTAGATTTTAGTTCCTTACAGTTCATATTTTTTCATTTAACAGAAGAAGTGGCTCTGGACATAGTGGAATATTTTTTTCTCTTCTGAACAAGTATTGTATTGATTAAGAAAACATATACAAATAACCCTTTGTACAACAAGGAATTGTGTAGGGGACCTTAAGATTGGAGGATTGACAATAAGGAAACTATGGTTTTACCTACAATTTTCTGATGATATCATTTTGTTCTTTGAGGATATGGAGGACAAAGGAACATGCAATTGCTAATAAAATGTTTAGGGTGAGAGAGTATTCAGCCTTTAGCAACCTTAGGAGATTCTCATTATGGTCATATTTTTCTGGTGGTACTAAAATTAAGACATTTTGCAAACATTCCCCTATGTACAATGTTGGAAGATATGGAATGGGGCCTCACATCAAGCAAAGTTAATGATATGATACAATCTATATGTATAAAGGTGGGTTATGTCAGATTATTATCAAGAGTACAGGAGGTTGTAACGATGGGATGCAAATAGAAATTAATTGCCCAATTGGGAGGGCTGAGTTGAAGATTCACCTATTTGAAGTTCTTTGGATAAGCTATTGAAAGAGGTTGAAGTGGACAGTCCTTAAAGTGATTGACTGGTAGCTTATTTTGACTGTAAGTATCTTCTATTTTTATCTTGATTTTAACTTATAGAGTTATTTTTCACGCATGAAACATTTGTTTAGACTAATAGTTGATTTAGTGCTCTTTGTATCCCTTTTCACCTATATATCTCTCAAGTTTTGTAACAACTTTATAGACTAGAAATCTCCTGACTTCTTTTTCCATGTTTCCTTTATAAATTCTTGGCACCATTGTTTTTGGGTTTTGATGTTGCGCGATCTGATTGCTCATTGCTGGATGA